GCTGAGGGGTGCAGGGAGGGGACTGAGGGGTGCAGGGAGGGCACTGAGGGGTGCAGGGAGGACGCTGAAGGGTGCAGAAAGGGGACTGAGGGGTGCAGGGAGGGGGCTGAGGGCTGCAGGGAGGGGACTGAGGGCTGCAGGGAGGGGGCTGAGGGGTGCAGGGAGGGCGCTGAGGGGTGCAGGGAGGGCGCTGAGGGGTGCAGGGAGGGCGCTGAGGGGTGCAGGGAAGGGACTGAGGGGGTGGGCCCGAGATGGGGAGGGATGGACGTGTGGTTACTAGCGTGGTGAGGCTTGACCTCCAGCCCCCTGCTCCCCGTCTCAGTGCTGAGATGACCCTCAAGCTGACACTCCACCTCTGTCCCTACCTTAGTTGTCTTGGCGAACCATGTTGTGACAGATGACGATGAACCAGCCCTGAAGCGCCAGCGGCTTGAGATCAATTGCCAGGACCCCTCCATCAAGGTAGAGGCCCTCTCTGCTCACTGAGGGGCAGTGCCGTGTGGGGGCAGGGCTGGCGTGGGGCTGTGCTCCTGAGGCTGTGTGTGGGGTGAACTGTGGGAATGTGGACTCGACAGAGCCCCCGTCCAGAGGGGGACGAGAGGAGAACTGGGTCTGGCAGATGCTTGCTTGCCAGTTGGAAGACACCATCATGTAAATGACCTAAAAGTTAGTTAACTCTGGACGTGGTTTGAGAGCAGTCTCGGGGTGTCCACAGCATGTTGAGCTGCTAACCCGAAGGCCGTACAGTCTCCATAGGTTCGAATCCAGCAGCGGCTCCTCGGGAGAGCGGAGGCAGTCCCCTCCCGTTAGCATTCGCAGCCTCTGCAGCCCGGGAAGGGTCGGAGACGGATCCACTCTGCGCGTGGAGTGTGTGTTGGAGACGCTTTAAGGAAACTACTGTGTCAGTGTGATAGTTGTGGGTCTTTTGATCCTGGTGTTTGTACACCTGGAGAGAGATCAACACACACGAGAAGCTTAAGAAAGCTGCTTAGTGAGACCCAGAGGGCCCTGGGCGCCAGCGGGACCCGGGGGTCAGGCTCTTGGTCAGCAGCGGAGTGTGGAGCTGCCACAGTGTGGGGTGTCCACTCAGAAATTCCTGCTCGGTGTACTCACAGAAAGCAGTGAGCTGAGACCGCGGGGGAATTGAAAGGCCTCCGAGTGGGGTGTCTGCCGCAGTCCCCGGGGGCAAGGCAAGGGGCTTCCGTTGTTGGTCACCGTTGAGTCGGTTCCCTCTCCTGATGCCGTGCTACATGTGAAAATCAAGTCCAACGGGGACGGCGAGGACGTGCCTCACCCAGGTGGACTGACAGACTGCAGCGGGGGCCTGCGCGTGCGAGAGGCTGCGAGGACACGGCAGGGCTCGGGTCGGCTGTGAGTCGGGCACCCGACAACAGCAACATCATTTTACCACACGAGAGACGTTTGTGAAGCAGTCTGAACAGCACAGGAACGTGAAGCCGCGAAGCGCATGCCCTCCTGAGTGGCTCTAGCCCACCGCTGTCGTTTGCTGTTAGGCACGTGTCGTCGGGTGTGCAGCTGGAAGAGACAGACTTCAGCCCAGCTGCCAGGAGCTCTTGACTGACTAGTGTTGGTCGGTTTGTGGCTTTGTCACTCTGCCCTCGGCGTCCTTGCTTTGGGAGTACTGCCCGTCCCCCCACTGGGGAGGGGTGTGTGTGTGTTTGAATTCCAACACGCTGTAATCCCGAGCTGGCCACTAGAGGGCAAGCCTGAGCTGCAGGGGCCCCAGGCCCGCGTGACTGCTGCCTGAGGCTGAGCGGACGGAACCCCCTCTTGGTCCGGGGTGAGCATTACCTGGCCTCACGATTGGAGCGGAGTAGTTTTGTGTTGGTTACTGACGGCTGTGAGAACATACTAAGCATCACCTAAGTGTTTCGGTGTCTGGACTGGAGTCCTGGCGGCCGATGGGTGGGATGTGAGGGGAAGAGGGGGTCCAATCTGTTTCATGGGCGTTTGTGGCGTGGGCGAGGCGGGGGGCTGCTCAGAGCTCCCCGCTCGCTGCCCTGGGCGCTGGCCAGCTGCTGACATACCTCTCTCCCTACTGCAGTCCTTCCTCTACTCCATCAACCAGACCATCTGCCTGCGGCTGGACAGCATCGAAGCCAAGCTGCAGGCGCTCGAGGCCACGTGCAAGTCGCTGGAGGAGAAGCTGGACGTGGCCACCAACAAGCAGCACAGCCCTATCCAAGTGCCCATGGTGGCCGGCTCCCCGCTCGGGGCCACGCAGACCTGCAACAAAGTGCGATGGTAAGGATGCCTGGAGAGCGGGCTTCTAGAAGGTTCTGCATGGCCCGGCCGCTGGGCTGACGCTGTGTGCAGCCTGTGGTTCCGTGCACTGACCCTAGCTTGGCTCAACAGAGCCCAGGACCGAGTCCTGCTCCACCAGCACAGTCTTGGGTGCCGTTAGCAGCTTCCCGGTTTCTCTGTACTTGGAGGCGAGCTGTCTGACAGCGTTTCTCCACCAGTCGCGGAGGGGTTTTCAGGACCTCAGACTTCCCTCAAGTGTAGCGCTCTTACTGTACTTCCGTAAGTCTCATCCTAGCAGAGGAATAGCATTTCTTCAGTGTTTGAAGCCGTGACTTTCTAGAAACCTTCAGGTGAGGGAGATTGCCCAGACGCACTGCGCTGGGATATGGTGGAGGTCTGCGTGTGTTGCAAGGGCAGTTTTCGGGCTGACTCAGGCCAGGGCTCGCAGGCAGGCAGGGCCGTCTTCTGATGATGTCCAGGGCTCACCCACTCAGACGACTGCAGCACACAGTGACCCAGTAAGATGGAGTAGAGCTGCCCCTTGGGTTTCCAAGGAAGTGGACTGTCACATCCTCCTCCTGGAAGGAGGCTAGTGGGTCGATGCACTGACCTTTCAGTTAACAGCCATTTGTGTTAGCCACCGTAGGACCAGGGCACCTTCCCCCCTACACGTGGGTGCAAAGAGGTCAGATCCTTGGCGGTGACTGGTGGGTACTTGATCAGCACTGAGCATTTCCCTGGGGATTTTCTGTGGAGGTGACTGTGGGTGGTGGGCGCGCCCGCGGGGCCGTTCGGCAGGACTGTGAACCTCCTGTCGCTCAGAGGTTCCTGCCACTGGTCTGCCCCGTTGCTGCGGTAGCTCCGGGCGCTTGGCACCCTGGAGAGTGAGGGGCAAAGGCAGCAGGGGCTCTGCCACATCACAGGCTGAGGTGCCATGTGCCGGCACCCGCTGTGTACTCCACTCTGAGATGCCGCATGGCCTCCACCTGACGGCCACACAGTGTCGTGGACCTTGTTCCTGACGTCACAGGCCACCGCTGGCCTTGCTGGTGGGCAGGCATTCGTGCGCGTGGTCCCTGTGCCAGACTTTGTCCTGCGCCAAGGCCAGCACGTCCTCCCCAGGCTGGTGCTCGTGAGTGCATGTCTCGTCACCGAGTGAGGGCAGTGCTGCTGGTCCTGGGCAGGTGAACGGAGAGGCAGGGTGAGGAACGGCTCAGCTCTTCACTGCTGAGAACCTCCTGCTTTGCAAAGCTTGCTGGGATTTCTGCGGTTTTCAAGTGTTGTAATAACCCTTTGGGGATGCAGCTGCTCAGCCTCCTTGGTGGGCGGGCGGCACACCTTTCCTTGTCCATCCCTGCTGTGAGATGTCTCTTTGCAGCGTTCCCACGCATGGTCCGTGCTGTTCGTCTGCTGACAGCTGGCCCCTATGGCTCCCGGACCTTTTGGGTTCAGGGTAGGTCTTTCCAAGCACCTTTGTTCTGCAGTGTTGGGAGGAACCAGGGCCCTGTTCTGAGCGTCCTGCGAGGTATCTGCCCCTGGGGTCCTGTGAGCTGGTGTCCTCTGCTCCCTGGGGTCCTGTGAGCTGGTGTCCTCTGAGATGTCTGCCCGCGGTCTCGTGAACTGGTGTCCTGTGCCCCTGGGGTCCTGTGAGCTGGGTGACCTTGAGTGTCCACCTGGCGTCAGGCTTTGCCGTCGGTGCTGTGTGCCTGCTCTAGCTGCAGCTGTCTGCATAGCTTCTTGAGCAGAAGAGAACATTCATGCTCCTTGGCAGATGGCCTCTTCGGGTGTGGGGTGAGACTTGTTCACCTGTGGACATGGTGTCTGGGGTGGAACCGTGGTGGGCCTGTGTGCAGGCTGTGTCTTGCTGGACAGCTGTAGGGAGCTGTTAGTCAGCCAGCCCCAGGTGTTTCCAGCTGCATGTCACAGAGAGGACCCCACTGCTCGGAGTGCCTGTAAAGCTGGGAAAAGCTGACCCTTCTGCATAGTCAGAGGCTGACACCACAAACAGCATCAGTTGAGGAAGGCATAGTTTCTGTCATGTTGGAGGACTGACATTTAAAAACAGCTCTTTCATTATCTGTTACATGTTTCCAGTTGACTCTCTGCCCAACGCTCCACTGAGGAGCCCCATGATCAGGCTGTCCCCACTGGCCGTCCCGCTTGTCACCGCCCTCATGGAGTCCTGTCCCCACTGACCGTCCCGCTTGTCACCGCCCTCATGCAGTCCTGTCCCCACTGACCGTCCCTCTTCTGTCACCGCCCTCATGGAGTCCTGTCCCCACTGACCGTCCC